CCATGAGAAGAAGCTTGAGGTGGACGTATAATCAAGAAATTCAGACATTCTCCATCCGAATTAATGAGACGTAGAATGCTCTCTTAAGGAAATTCTTCTGATATTATATTCAAGAAAAAGTTCAACGATCTTGAGTCTTTTGGTCGGTCATTAATTGGGTTCTGGTTGATCAAGTTGCGGGAGAGGCTGCACCCTTCCTTCAAGCAACACTCGGGACAATTCCACAATTTGACAAGCCATCCGATCATGGAATTCTTGAATTAGTTTTTGCACAAATTCCCGAACGAAGTCCACATTGGAGGCTTCTCCTTGATGTGTTCCTTCGCCCGGATGTGCTCTTTGTCTTGTTGAAGGAATGACTCCTTGTTCACCACACCTTTTAGGATATTGGATTCTAAATTGTCATGTAGATCACACCTAATGAATAGAGCATTAGTCGAAGGAAAGAAAAAAGAGATAAGATAAATAATGCCCAATTTTTTTAAAAAATTTGCAATAGTCCCCCTTTAGTGAAAACACCCTCCTATTTATAAATCGTAGGTGAGGTCTATCAAATTACACGATTATACCCTTAAATGGGGTCGTTACCATCATTTATGAACCGTTACACTTTTACATATTTGTAACTGAATCTGACATATTTTGACCTTATAATTGTGTTGGATTCGTTTCATATTTGTAATTGCCCTTGGCATCACTCCGTATTTAGAACTGCCAGATCGGCATTCATTCGGTTGGCCATAAGTTATTCGGTCGGTTGAACGAGCTTCGGCTGCCTTTTTCGAGGAGACCCGTTGGGAAGACTCATTACCCTTGGGAAGGATTGTTCCATCAGGCGAAGGATTCATTATCTTAATCTAACGGTTAGACTTCCTTTGGCCGATGAGTCCATAAAAGGTGTTTCCTCCAAGAGGTTGCTGACAATTTTCCAACGGCAAATGTGGTTCGTAGGCATCAATGTGGGGCGCAGTGTTCCTTTGGTCGGTCAGTCCTTCATTCGGTTGGCTCTAAAGGTCGACTTGCGTAATGACGAATGATGGTACAACAACCCTCCTCACATGATCCATCAGATTTTCTCAAGATCGGTGCAGACGTATTTCTAATGTGCAATTTTGGATCTTAAAAAAGTCAAAAGGGGCGCTAAAATGTGAATGGATTGTAACTTACCACCGCAGAATCTTGCTGATTGAGACAACCTTGGCTTCAGCATCAAGAACAACCCCTCCATTCCTCAGAAATATGCGTGCAGCCTCAACAAGTTCTTTGTCTATGTCGTTGGGTGAATAACACCTCAGAGCAGGCCCAGAACAGGTGCCAGATACCAATGCAAAGTGTACCAACGGTTCTGGGTAGGGAAGAGCCACCTGATTCAAACAAAAAAAGTACTTTGTTGATCGGAGCAATACATCTATCATGAAATTTCTGCTTTCAGCATTAAAAAAAAATGGAAACTTGACCGACAATAAAAGGTCAAAACAAATACCCTAAAACAATAAATAGAGATCTAAGAGCAAGGAGTTTTACAATTATTGAATGAAAAAATGCATTATTAATTGTGAACATGTCCTCCAAGAACCAAAGTAGTTTGCACGGATTACTTCCTCTCCCCTTCTTCCCCTCTCTTCGATTCAAGCATCTGCTTATGTTCCATTGTGACTCTATACTAATAAGCTATTTCAAATGATGATTGATGAAAGCTTAGATCTTGATGGCCGTAAGGGCTTCCCACGTATGTTGAAAATCATTACAAAACTTATGCATTTGTAAATGAATTGACGAGCAAAGCCCAAATAATTATCTGCATTTTTTATTATCACGTTTGGGTGTGCTAACATATGTATATACCAGGATTCTAATGGACATCGCTAAGGGCAATCTATGGATATAGCTAAGACAAGTTGATGATAACAATTCCTCCAAAAATTTTGTTTAAAATGTAAGTTTTGGTTTTACAGAAAGGAGCAATACAGGTATCAAACAGTTGGAACCAACTAATCTGGCAAGTGAGCTTATTTGAAAAAACAATGCTTTAGATTGGGAATATTTGAAGATAGTAGAGAATGATTGAAAGAATAAAATATATTGTTGAAAAAAAATTACCTTGGAACGTTTGTCTTTAGGACCAAAAGGCTTGGTGAGGTTGTATGGAGGCCGTTGGTTGCCTCGTAGAACACCATTCTGTATAGCAGATAAGGAGTAGGAGCATCCGCCTATAACATACTTGAAATCTCCTAAAAACTTTTTCCTATCCAAGGGTCCAACAGGGAAACCATATATAGATATGGCATGAATAACCATCATGTTATATAGGTTTATGAAAAATGCAAGCTTTTCTTCCCTTGATAGGATCTCCAAATCAACTCTTTCAAGCTCCTCTATAACTCTTAGGTACCTACCAAAAAATCTAGACAAGTCAAACAACATTTGTATTTAGTTTTGGGAAAGCCATGCTCTTGACCACCATCATCAATTCGTCAATGCATTCCTAATGTGTAGCTTACAGGTAACTGATAGGTCCCGCTTAAGCTACGGCCAACGCTTACAGGGCATCCCTCAGAGAAAAAAGAAGCAATAAAGAAAATATAGAGAAAAAAAAAAAAACACAGTTGGTGTTATAGATAACTCCAGCCAACTCCATGCAAAAAAAAAAAAAGAGTTAAAACCATCAAAATTAAGCTTTCTTTTATTAAATTCCTCTACTTCACACTTCATTAAAAAAAAAGAAACTCACCATAAAATCAAGTTATTCAGATGGAGATGCAAATGCAAAATGTAAATTATAAAAAAATATTAAATGCATGATCTATGGGAATCAAATGATGCAGCCAGTTAAACAGAAGTTTGGTAGGAAGAATTGAATGATGGCAAATCAAACCAAAATTTCCACAGATGACAAAATATATGGGCTTAGATTTAGTCTTCACAAGAGGCCGCAAAAGACCAGAATACATAGTTTTGGTCAATTCTGATGTCTTCATAGTTGAAGGGTGTCTGCTGAAATTCTGGGTAGAAAAAAAAATTCTGTAGAGGAAAGAAGGCTGCTTAAAGTCATATAACTACTGAGCAGAATGGATTATTTCTGGATAATTAAAAAAGCTTAAAAAAATTATTGAAAATGAGGGAAAATGAAAGGTACCATCGCAGCAAAGATTAAGTTACAAGCCCACATTTTATTCACCAAGGTTTCACTATTCTCTTTATGGTAAGTTTGAAGCCCACCTTTTGAACTCCTCAGAATGATGAATGCTGTTGTAGTCAACATTATTTCCACCTTCAGATACATAAGCCTCAAAAATACCATAGGACAGCAATCTTAAGTTTGACGAGATTTCAATTATAGGCTTAGGTTGAACATCAATTCTATCCCTCGAAACATTGTAGCATTGAGTCATTATGGTAGGGTCATCTTCCAAAAAACGATACAAGTGGCTTCCATCTTCAAAGATGTCGTCGCTGCAAGTCAGAGGAAAATGTAGTAATGAAACATAACTACAACTAACAGGAAAAAGTATAGCCCCAAATCAATTCCACAATACAAAAGAACGAAGATATTGCTATTCAAAAAACTTACTCAAGTACATGTCTGAAGAAGTGCTGGCTGAGCAGCTTCCTTCCCAATTCAACTGCCTACATGAAAAAGAGAACAAATTTTAAGAAAAAAACGAATAACAACTAAGAAACAGGAAAATAAATTCAATTTTCACATCCAAGAACACAAACTATTCTCAACTGTCATGACCGGGTTCGAATTCTTGGAATTTTCAAAGAGAGAATAGATTATCGAACAATGAAATCAATCTTTAAATTTTAATAACTATTATAAATGAAGATTTTTTAATTTTTTATAAATTTAATCCTAATTATTATTATAATTATTTGTATTCACTTGCATAAATCAAACCCTTAAATTCTTCAAGTTAATGTCTAATATTTTTTACAAATTTAACAGTTTTTACTGTATATTATTATTAAGAAAATCATTTAAACATAAATGAAATTTAATTAATTTAGAATTCATTTCCCTTAAAACCTTTAATTAAATCCATTGAAGCTTAATTTGCTCCCGTCCGGTACAGAGAAGGTAAAATTTATGTGACTCCTATCATCATCACCTTCAGCCACGGTTGGTAGAACATGTTGGTTTACTCAAGCTTGTTATAGCTCCTAGCTTGCGAGTGACATGATAAATATCGTTTTTGTCTGCTGCATGCACATGAATGCACTTGGATGCCCTTTGTTCCTATTTATTTTCGTGCATCGCTGCTCATGTGCTCTGTTCGAGCCCGATGTCTGTCGCTTCCATGCGGAATTATAAATCATTGCTTTATCTTGTGTTGCCCGTGCTTGCCAACAATCAAACTTGCTAAGCCTTCCCAAACTCGTTACTCGATATCGATCACACAAAGATTGATCCCTCAAACACCATCGTCTCCTATCCAGACTCGCCCGGTCTCCCTTTCTTTTGTCTTTGCCCCGCCCTTTGTCTTCATCTTTCAATGCTTTTAATAAGCAATGAACCAACCTCCTACCACCTCGACTCATCTTCTGTTGCATCTCCCTTTTTTCTCCATGTGTAACAGCATGAATCCATCCTAGCCGATTCAATATTACTAGACATTACAATCTTCGCCACTTAAAAAAAGTACATCATCCAAACTTGTATACTATGGCTCATTACATATGACTGGGATGACTCATTTGCCAATATATGACAAAAAGGGAAGGCTATGCATTTCTACAACTACCAGAAAATCACACCAAATAAAAATCACACAGAATGAGCATCAATGTCAAACACGCTTCTAACTTATTGTAGAAAGATTGTTCATGTAAGATGACATTTCAATATACTACTGGCTATAACAACACTTGATCAATTATTTTCAATATCAATATCCACAAAAATAAGTACTTCAAGCTCTTTATGAGCAAGGGCATAAACTCATCGTCAAACATACTGCCTTGGTTGTCTTTGAGTAGGGGTTGAAACGATTGATTCTATCATCGTTTGTCCACCTTCAGTCTCCTAAAAATAAGCTTCAATTAATTTTTGTTTCTTGAAAGTCTAATGGCTAAGCACAGCGAAATACTAGCCATAGCCAGTTTGACGATATTGGTAGCGTGTGTTCAAGCTAGCTAAACATTCAACTTTAGGCTATTTTTCATATTTGACAAGAGATTTATGGTACTACAAGTCGTACCATTACTGATCCACAAGAACTATACAAATACTTCTTCTCATTTGATCCTTCTGACAGAGCTACATGGTCGTCTTTATCAATACTTATTCTCATGCGCAACTCCTTATGCTTCTAAATAAGCACAAAATCACTCTTCACCATTCTAGCCATTTTCACGAATACAAAATACTCATCAATCCACAAAGACACCAACTACCTAATTGAATCCTTCAATCTAGATAGGGCAGTTCTATTCGACGGGCAATACCACTTGTGACACCATCTCGACAATATAATAGCTTCTACCTCATACTAGATGATTACTTATCTCCTTGCACCAACCTAATGAACAATGTCTATCTTTGTGCGGTTAGAATAGGGCGGTGGGTGAATGGAATCTATAGATGTTAAATATGCAAAACTGAGAGGAATTAAGTGTATTCGATGAAAATCCACATAAAAAAATTATATAGGTTCACCTTTCTTGTTTCCAATTTAAGAATTAAAAAGGACATGAATGTATCTGTATAAGAATATTGGATGTTAACTAATTTTTATAGTCTCACTCCTTAAAATTATATCTTTTTAAATAGCATGAGTTGTACAACTAGGGTTGTAAACGAGCCGAGCTAGGGCAAGCTCAAGCTTGGCTCTTGTTCGGCTCGTTCAAAATTGGCTCCTGAACAAGATGTTCATGCTCGCCTCGATTTAAATATTCTTGTTCATGTTTAGCTCGTGTCGGCTCAAAATTGGCTTGTTAAAATTAATTGAAAAAATAGATGCAAAGTGTCAGATTGGAATCTGCACCAATTATGTGCGATAGAAGTCACAACACCACATTACCTTACAAGTTGT